ATTTAAAGCGGAACGCGCGTGGCAACCGAATATCAAAAGATCAATATTGCGCGATACAATATTAAAGAACGTTCAATTTAACGTTTAATCGACGATGTACCGTGCAAGTTTCGATACCCGCGGTTGGCAGCGGTGCAGAGTAAGCGAGAATTGCCGTGTAGGGTTCACGACTCGAAGAATGCAAAACGGAATCTGCAACTCGGTTTGACCGTTTCCGTGGTTTCAGAAATTTATTTTGACATAGTAGATACTTAATTTCTGTAATATATAACCTCGTGAAGGTTACGATAGCTCGATGGAACGATAAAAATGGAGGTTACCGAACCAATTCGACTCTTCGGCGACTCGAGATCGTAATCACACCCGGCGACATCGACGGGTTGAACTGTTTACCCTTCCATTTCCAGAAACACCGTTGTTCAGAGAAGAGTGGCCGTCAGCCAGTTTTCAGAGCCGTTTGCGAACGAAAACCGAACGCACTTCGGAGGGAACGGGTCCTGTTCGGTTAACCGTCCAGACGGTACGTGTACCGGTTATTCTAGCGGCCATTGTTTCCGTTCGATTCGATCAGCGGCCGCTGAACGATCGAGGAAAGCAGTTAGTCCCGTTCTGGCGGACCGGTTCGAGAGGGCGGGCTGCACGAGACAGCGGAAGCACTCGAGGAAATCCCTCGTTCGTCCGGGCGATCGATCGACGAAGAAAAGCATTTCCAGCAACGTTTGACCGTCGACAAACAACCGCGGACCTGCCCAGTGAACACAGGACCCCACTCTTTCTGCAGAAACCGATCAAATCGAAACTCGATTCTGGCTGAAGGGCGCCCGTGACCAACGCTGTGGGGGCGACCATCTTGCAACGCTATCGAGCTCCCTGATTTTAAATCGTTATTCGAGCGGATCTCGAGATTTTCGACTTCTGTATTTTGTTTCTCTGAACATATCAAAATTTTGGGACTCATAGTTAGTCACGATTAGGAACGACTTCGGATATCTTCATACGTCTGAGGATATCGAAACTTAAATCGACAGAAAAGGATTACAGATTGTACAATTGTCTAGAAAGCTTGGTCCAGCAGCCAATGCGTTAAATTGTCACGCTGTACTTTCTTTTCTTCTGGTTTCGTTTACCTTCGAGGGTAACCTATTCCCATAACTGCAGGATCAAGGATGTTATAGGCGCGCTCTTAAGCGTTACGGCGCGTAACTACGCTCGCTATATCCAGGTTAGATGTGTATACAGTATATCCAGTTTAACTGCAGGCTGGAAAGACGCCGACAACAGGCGAGAATTTCCAGCCGAAATGTACAGCCATCAAAGTATTAAGGTCTCAACGAACGGCGGGCGACACGGGTTCTACGCGGTACACGATTAAGGAAACAAACCCAGCGTCCGTTTTCAAGTCACGTGGTCTTCATAAATCGCGAAATTCCCGCTGTACGATAAAGACTTTTCGTACCGGGGTTTCGTTTCGTCGAGCCAGCGCACGGTTTCTTTGTTGGCCGCCCAATATGTCGGACGCCGCGTAAAACCGATCACTTTACACGGGGAAAAGCGACCGGTTGGTCCGCGAGAACTTCGTTACCTCGTATTGCAGGGAATTGCAGAGACCCGTCGAAAACTCGCCATTATTAAATTCGACAAGGACGAACGAGGCTGCAGGGGGGAGGGGGAAGTCGAAAATGGAAGCCAACTCGCTGGTCGATCGATCAATCGTCACTTCGCGCGAAGTTCTTGCTATAACGGTTTTATATCGCTCTAGGAACGGGCGATTACAGAATTCACGATGCACACGCACTACGTCGACTTCGTCGCCATTGTTCGTTCGAATCCGAGCGGGGTTGGGAAAAATTTTATCGAGGTATTTCGGATAATCGATAAGATCACACGACACAAAAAGAACAACTAGCACTTTATAATTTATATTCGACAAATATTACGCGTAAACAACTGTTTACCTTTTCTAATCTGTAAATAAGAAATTTGCCCATTCTTATGTAATGCGTTTAAACGCAGTGGTAGTAGATAATTGGAGAATATTTGAAATGGAAAGGGAAGCTTGATGCATATTAATTTTCCATTCCACGAGCAATATGAAATTTCAATAAACTTGATCTCGTGGTCGTTCGTTCCGTCCATAGACGAATCCTCCACGAACGATATACCCTTCTGTCGCTTCTCTTTCAGTTTCCGCGCCCATTTCTCGTCTAGCTGTATTCGTAAACATTTTAGGAACACTCGGTTGTTTCGCCAGCTTTTAGCGATCCCTCCTACTCGGTTTATTTTACTCTTTCGTTAAAAATGTTTGTATCGAGACTTGTCTGGAAAAACTACTACCCCGTGAAAGGTAATCCATTCGACACGGATTTCCTCCAGCTCCGATCCTCCACGATTACCGTTCATTTGTCCATTTAAAACGGTTTAAGGGCGGTTTGAACGGGGCGCCATAGTTTAACGTTGCACCGAATGGAAATATTTTATACGATTTTCAAGGATTTACTTTTTAAATATTTTTAAAAATTTCCAATCCCCGGATCGGTTTTAATTCCAACGGTGTCCAAGATCGTTCGGAATTGTTCCGTACGGGGCGCGAAGAAGCGACGGGATTAAAAAATTAACTTCAACTTCCGGGTACAGTTTCATTTCTTAACGTTTAACACGTGTGCGGGCGAGTAATCGAATTGTCTACTTCGCGAAATTGATTTTTTTTTTTCTTCGCTGGAAGGACACGGTATGTTTGCTCGAACTCTCGTTCCGTCCGATCCGATGAGTCGACGTTTTTAATTCCCAGGAACCGTGCGACTCGCGTGCCGATTAATCAATGCATTTTCCTGTTCCGGCAGCCTGGTTTAGAATTGATTAGGTTGTTGCGTCTGAAATTGATTTTTCGATCTCGCGAAGTCATTATATCGCCATTGAATAATTGTGCCGGCAGCTGGTACTCGTTACGTGTCAATTAATCAATTCTTTACTGTACGAATATATCAATTCCATCAGAAATTTTGTTGCTCGAGTTACCGTTATCGTTTCATCTAGCGAAATTAACGCAACTTCGCAGTTCCGTAGCCGCCATTTTCTTCGTAAACACCAGCCACTCATTTTATTTCGAGAGACTACCATTCGGTTGTCCTCTGTAATCAGTATCAGTTCAGACGTCGCAGAGAACACGTCGTCGCGAGTACGTAGCCGTGTTTACAGCGTCGAGTTCAATCGTACAACGCGATTCGGACCTTTCAATTTTGCGTAATGGAACTGCAAACGCGTTTTTTCTCGAAATACCATTTTTTAAAATGGCGTACACGATAACTGCAAATCGGCTTAACCGTTTTGATACCAATATGACACTCCGCATCGGTTCACCAGCGATTTTTTTCGGTTTTAATTCCATTCATTAGTTATAAAAAATTGGCAATCAATTTGAAAATATCAGAGCATTGAAAAACAGCGTCGAACAACGAACGAAAATCTTTTTAGCCAAATATTCTACGCGCACGTGTCGTGAAACAATAATTCTCTGTACTCTGAGACCTTTCTTAAATGGTTAATCGAACGTGAACGCTTGGTGCCGCGATTGTTAATCGTTTCGTAGCCGTATCGACAACGGACGACTCGCAAAAAGTTTACGGTTCGCGCTGCGCCGGAGTAAGGGTGCAGAAAAACCGCAAGAAGGGGTGAAAACCGCCACCCTCATCAGCCGTAACCAGCGAAACCAGGAGGCGGAACGAATCGTGGATCCTCCCGGGATCTCCGTGACATTCCTCTTCGTCCAGCCGTTTCTTGCTGGCCTACGCGACAGCTCGAATCGAGTCCAGCGTCATCGTAGCATCCGTTCGCCAAGGTACGATTATGCTTCTTTCTGCTGTGACCGTTTCTTCTGCTACTGAACGAAACAAAGTACATCGGGAAATCATTTTGCGACCGTTTTGGGGAAGCTTGACAAGGGTGGGACTTTTTTTCGGTTCGCTAGAAACGTTGGTTTCCGGTGGCAGACGAAGGTGGGTTAAGACGATATAGTTGAACAGGAATATAAATAAAATGGAACATATCAATATGCGTTTCTCCTCAACGTTTAATAGACTTATCTAGTAATTTCCTAAGAATCAAATATAGAGGGTTTCCAATTAGGAAAGTACACGATCGAAGAATAAATACAACGTCACCGAATAGCATTGACGCTGCTTTCTGTCATCGTTCAAGTCCATTCGAGGCTCGTCCTTGTGTCTCCTCTTCGATCGGTCGATTCGATATCGCTGAAGAGCGAACGATTTAGTGGCGCGACTCGATTAACCGACTCCGGTAATCATAGTGAAAGCTATCGTCGGATCTCGGCAATGGACCTTCAAGGAAAGAAGCTACGGGTCTTATCTTATCGGTCCCTCCTTGGGAACCCACTGGAAGCTTGTTTGTTCCACGGGAGGCCGTTTCGAGTGTATCGTAATCGATGATCGATTAATCCTCGCGGATGCTACTTCGTTACACGCGCCGCTCGGATGGCTTTTCATTTCGATAAAAGCCTCGAGAAACGTCCCGCGACGCCCACCGTCGTCGGCGATTTTTACGATCGACCATCTAGAGATCCATACCAGAAACGAGCAGAATTTTATTACAATAATAGATAACCAAGAAACTCATTGCTGATGTTTATTATATTCAACGATTCAAATTTTTAGTTTTACATGAGGAATAATTTTTATTCAAAAAGACACTCGTGACAATATGAAAACTTACAATTTCTTTGAGAAGCTTTTTTCATTCCTAAGACTATTTTATTGTCGAGGTATTAAATAATTGTGTGATTAATATTACTGGAACTATATCTCCACAAAGTCTGAATTTTTTATTTCAATTTTTAAGTTCCTGGACTACCCTTCTGAAAATGAGGTTTTTTCAGAACCACCAAGTATATTATTAAGAAAGTATTATAACCGACAGACGTGGAAATATGATTGTTTTGAGTAATGTCTGGGTCGTTGTTAGTACACAGAGGATCGGTCTTCGTGATTTCAATCTGTGTCGCTGGAATAAACAAGTGGCCTCAGGTCGATCATCGAATCGCCCCGTCCGCTGTACTTCTGCGGAGAGAAAATATATGGTTCAGAAATAGAAAATATTTATCCTGAGAAAATCGGTGGAAACTGTTTCTCTGTTTCGTAACTAATCACTGAACTGCACATGTTTGCAGCGAAATACATATGTTAAAGTACACGATCATTAGTTCAAAAGGGACGATGTAAAAAGATTTGTTATGTGGCAAAATATTTATTCCGATTTATTTGTATATTTTGCTTCTTCTTCCAGATTATCCTATATTGAGAGTTGTGAAAGTAACCGCGAACAGTTGGTCGAAAACATTAAATATAAAAGCTCGTCACGACTATATTCGATGTTATTGATTTAAATGAAATCTTTATTCCCAATAAAAAAAACAGTGAAAATGCGCCAGCGGTTATTCGAGCAATAAAATTTAGTATCCTCGTTGTATAAACAAAATATTGAACGTTTTCATCTGAAAATCTGGCCATTTTTAGAATAATGAAAATGAATTTTTAGAATACTTTCAAACTTGATACTTAAAAAAATACTCGGTATTCCGAAAATGACCAAGTATTTCGGTCGAAAACACCAAATATTTTGTCCATTTAACGAGTATTGAATCTGGAGAATCCTTTCGTGCCTAATAATTAAAAAAAAATTCGTTTCGTTACGAATCGCGGCGTTAACCGACGAAATACGGTCCAGGAAACACAGGAAGCAACACTCGGTTCCTGCGAAGTTTTTAAATTTCCCTTCATCACGCCGCGAGCGGCCCAATAAAAGTCCGCGGAACGTTCCCTTTTCTTTTCGACCGTCGCTTTTATTCTGACTGGAAGGAATTAGAACGTTAAACAAATAAAGCCCGACGCGGCGCCACTCGGGCGAAGTGTTATTCCGAGAGAGGCGCAAACTTCATTCTGCAAATATTTCTCGCGAAGTTGTTGGGGAAGTTGCCGTTGCTTCCCCTTTAACTCTTTTCACCTGCAGACGAGCTTCTGGTTACACGTGTACGGTTTGAGAATTAGCGACTCTCGAGCGAAAACCCTGCCGTGGAACAACTCAGGTAAGATGAAACTGTCTAGACTTACTTTTCCCAACCTTCTTCGGGCTAACACCCCTTGCCAAATCTCCCCAAAAATTACGAACGCGATCCTACTCCGACAACCTGGATCGAAAAGTACCTGGGGCGCTGGTTTATTCAGATTTTGCGCCCGAATAGCCATACTTTCCCTTTTTCAATCCCTTTACTTGTATTAGCAGTACTCATTATACACTGTATTCATAACCAACCATTCGCACCTCTAGAAATAAAGCAATAACCAACAACTTGTAACGTGTTTTATATGATTGAGATAATACTCTGAAAAGTTATGTAGGATTAAAATTGTAATTTAATCACTTAGTCAGAACTCGCGAATTAACAAAACATGGAACAAGGAACTTTATTAACACCAGAACAAACACCAAACAAATAATATTCACTAAATCGTTACAATCGTAATCACAAAACCGTTATAATCGTAATGACCGTCACGTACAATCGTTTCGTCGTCGAATCGACCGGCAAAAGACCCCGTTGCCTTCTCGACGCGTCCGTTTAACCCTTTCCCGTCCCAAACATCCGCCGATTCCATATCCGGAGAAGTTTCCAGAACATTCCCGTCGTTTCGCAACAACGTTCCGTTACCATACTTCATACATTCATACATCCAATCATGCAATCGTTCAGGGTCGACACATTCACGCAATTCAATCCTTACCAGTTCCACATCCGGTAATCTTTCCCGAATGTTCTTAACATTTCCAAACATTCCATCTCTATGGCCAACGCACTCATACATTCAATCGTTCAATTAGAGTCGACACATTCAGATCACTCAGCCGTTCTTCACGATCGATACGAAACGACGGAAAACACTCGTCTCCTACAGTTATTTATATTTGTTTGCCTCCACCTGACTCACTGAACTGTAAACATTAATCTTTGTATTTGTTTCTTTCCACAGATTTCCACCACATTTCTCAGAGTAAATAAAATCTTTTTAAAACGCGTGGGAAACCGGGTAAAAGCTTTCTCGGATACATTTCTTTTACTATGGAAATAACTGAAGGAACATATAAATTTTTAAAAAATAATTGCTCGCAATTATCGTGAATTTGTGGGAATTTCGTGTTGCAGATAATGAATGTTCTTTGGATGGGGCACTCACTCGATCGATCTGGCATAGATTAGGTCCGCTGGAGTTCCCAAAATCTAGACGGCCGTAGAGCCAGCCGGGGGATCCCCGCCACCGATTCCCGAGCGCGACTGCATTTCTCGCGGCAGTGAAGTCGAGCCTCGACAGCACGGTCACGCCGACCTGGAACATTTTGCAGTTTCCTCATACGTGACGTCACGTACACGCGATCGTGCGAATAACGCCACCAGCGACTAGAAACCCACCCGCCCCCGCCCCACTCGCTCGTTTCCCGGCCGTTACTCTGCGTTGCAATTTTTTCTCTGTCCCTCCCACCCTTCCGCCCACCTACCATTCAGGACGTTTCCACTCGTAAAACAGTGTTTTTCGTCTTTACGACGAGCCACCGTTATCTATCCGTCAGGAGGCCCTCGGTCGCAGGAGTTAGCACCCTCCTTCCGTTTGGTCTCTGTTTCCCGAAAATAATCTCAGTCCCAATTAAGGCTGTTTATCGACCGACTGCTCAGATAACCAAAAGTTCGAGATTACCGTCGAGAAACGACGATCCTTCTCTTAACAGTTTTTGCTCGAAGACGGTTCGCGATGGCGGCGAGTAACGCCGCGAGGCGGCGGCTCGGCGGGTCCGAATTAAACGGATTAATTTATCGTCCGATAAAGGAAAAACTTGGGGAGTGGATGGGAACGCGGTGGGCTTAATTAACCGCGACTATTTGCCGGCTTAATGACATCAAGGCCGGGCTCGGGCGAAGAATGGTGGAAACGGAATTAAATCAGAGAGGCGAAACGAGCTACGGGCACGCGAGCCTTCCCGCTGGTCGGACCGTTTTGTCCGCCCGGGGGACCCATTTTTGCTCTCGATCCAGGGATCACGGCGGGAGAGGCGAAAATTCGAAAGAACGTCGGGAAAAAAAGATTTTTCCCCGTCCGCGTTCGACGAATGTTATTCGCGCGGCGCGTAATTTATCCGGCCCGTTAAACGAATCGACGCTTTTGTCGCACCCGATCGGAAGGCTAAGTGTGAGTTATTGAATCGGCCGGCCGGAAATTTGGCGTGAAAAGCGGCCATTTGCGTTAAAATATTACGCGTGCCTGCAGTTTCGATGACGCCCGGTATCATCGCGCACAAGGCAATCAATAATGTCGAATGAATCTGATAATCCGGGACTGTTCCGAGTATCGGCGCGAATCGGTACGAGCTTCTGTCGTTGCACGGTTATTTATTTTAAATCCGCGGGAAACTCGGTCGACGAACGTTACAAATATTGCGAAGGGAGAATTAACCATCCATTACATTGATCACCGAACATTTTCGAGACACAAAAATATCTCTACGTTCGAAATCTTTTGTTCCCCTCTCGCTTTAGGAATGACCTTCGGTTTGGAGAATCATGGAAATAATTATCGAGGAAATCTGATCAAGAGCTGTTTTTTTAAATAGAAGATATTCCCTGATCCGTTCTGACGATCGTTTGCGTGCGTTATTATTGATTTACCTGTAACACAAACAGAAATACGGCCAGCACTGCGGCGGAGTAGAGTGTTCCGTTCAGTGTGGTCTTCATGACGACGAGACAGCCCCGAGCGTTCAGGGTTTCGTAAGTGGAATTCTGTTCAGGATTTGGCAGCTGAAGTGGATCGTGATAGCAGGGGCCCTTTGCGTCGGTTCGACAGCAACTCCACGGCACCACTGGCGGCGTCACGCGACCGTCCAACTCGGCGTACCTGAAACAAGATTCCTACGTGTCTCGGATCGCATTCTCACGTTCCATCGTGTTCCCCCGTTCCTTCGTCTGCCGTCGTTACGAAGAATAGCTACAACTCGACGACTCCCACGGAAACGTTTCCGGGGATGTTGGTTCCTAGATGGTTATCTGCGAAAGGGTCACTTAGGAAAAATGAGCTCGCAGCTTTCGGGGATTAAGTTACACGTTTATTCTCGTTCCACCCCCCCCCCAGCCTTGGGGGGTACTAATATCACTTAACCAGGGAACCATCTCGAGCATTTTATTTTAAGCAAATGTTCTCGGACGAACTACGTGGCACTCGTTGCGCGCAATAATACGTTTCGAAGCACGAAAAAAATTGTCGTTTAGACCTCCGAAGGCAAATCCGACTTCGTCGTCCACTGTTTAAAATTAACCCCGTATTTACTCGGAACTCGTGGTTTCCCATACTTCATCGAGTGCAAAAAGTTTCGACTTACACGGTAAAACCATACGCGACGAGACACGCTGTCCAATCATCCCCCGTCGTCGGGTCGCAAAAAGTTCCACCGTAAAAGCCTCCGCTCCGAAACAGTCATTCTGTTTTCTCCCGTAGCCGTAAAACGAAATAACGCAACGGGTTGGAATTGTTCTATCGAAACTCTTCTATTCTCGAAAATTAAATTCGTCGCCGAGCCGTCAATTTCCACCATTTTTTCTTCCCTGTCGGAACCCACGGATCGGAGTTCGCCGGCTGGAACTTCGTCGAGCGTGAAGGGCGCCTTTCGGTTCTTGCTTTCAATCCCCCCCGACCCAATTTCTCCGTTTCCAAGCACCGGGCGACGACGAGGACCGTCGCCACCGACCAATCGGCATTCCGTAAGTTGTTGAACTTGCTAATTCGAACTTGTCCGCGAACATGTCCGCGAAGTCCGGAATGAGCTGCGGGTCGTGTCGCGTGTCCGTCTGCCCGCCGTGGCTTTCTCAGCCCGTGGCTTTCGAGTGGGTGAAGTTTTCGAATGAAAAGGGACACCCCAAGCCGCAGGACTTCCCCCGTGTCTGGTAATTAAACGCACGTGCATCGATCTGCGGTCCGCGGTGGAAATTATTGCTTGGAATTATTAACCGCGAAAGGATAAGTGAATCCGTTTAGAGGAACGAGTAAACCGTTGAGAAGGTGACAGGTTTGCTATGGAACTGGTAAAAATAAATCCTCGACTTGAAACGTTAGAAGAAATTTGGACGGGAGTTAGGAATTTTAACTCGGTTAGAAAAATGGGTTAATCAACGTGGTTAATGAGATCTCCAACGGGCGCCATTGTGCTCTTTTTCCTTAGGTTTCTTCCCCTCTTTAAAAGTGAAATATTATTGCCCTTCTTTCAGCAATTATTTACAAACGTCTGTTTTGTGTCGGAGAACGTCCGATTATTAATTATATGCACGAGGATTTGAATCGTTGAATTCCATCGTGCCATGTGATTTCTATTATAGGCGTTCTATGCATATTATGTTATTAGTGTTGATTTTATGTGGTCAACCGCGGCGGTTGACACTCGTGAATAGTTCTGACGTCAAGGACATAGGGATCGATCCACTCCGAGGTATAATTCTGCAATTAACATAACGAGAAATCGATAACCCACTGTTCTACCTGCGATTACCAGCCACGACACAAAGGCTTCTGTTCAGAACGCGCTATTAACCCTTTATTATTGAACGTATTACCTCCGGAACATAATGTACGCATATATCAGCCTCGGGAAACCTAACTATTAGTCAATTACTGCGTAAGTACACTATGCAGGTGTGACCTGATCGAAACAAAATAAATTATTTCGTCGAACATCCTCTGCCAAGTATCATAGCAAGCGTCGAACGTGATTTAACGTTAATTACAACTCTATAAAAGAGAATTCGAACCAGTATAAAGAATAAAAAATAACTTAAAAATACTGTGAAGAGCAAATTATATTTCAATTTTGTTACCAGCAGCTCCCAACTATCGTCGTATTTTGTAATTTTCAAGCGTATATCTCTTTGGTTTAGTCTTGAAAAAATGTCGAGTGGATTAAAAAGGGTTAATATTATTTTTCATTTAAATCAAGTCCAACGTTTCAGTCAGAAACTTGTACATCAGTTACTCAATGCTGATATACATCGTGTGTTGTATAAACGCTAACTTATACCACGATAATACCGTGTTATTTTCGGAACCGTCACTGTCACCAAAACGCACGTTATCTGAAATTGTATCTTAAACGAAAATCGCCATCATGATTTATTATTATGTCCCCACATACCGTATCTCTCATTTCGCTTCGTTCGTTACACGTTATCAATTTATCGAAGATTCCTTCCGTGAAATAAATGAACGAACAAACATTCTATTTACCCTATTCCGTTGTCAAAAGCTCGCGTGGTAGTAGGAACGTAAACCCTCCGAAAACACAACGAGCAAAAGCTGCCGAAAAAACATCGCCAGCAACATTTTACTGTCTCCTCTGGCGAATACGAGCCAAATGGAGAACACTTCCAAGTGGGCGTTCCACGTGGTGGCTCAGGTAAAAGCACGCGTGATATAGTCCCGGGGTATAAGTCAGAAGATACAGATCGAAAGCTGAGGGTAGCCAGGTTGACGCGGGAACGAAGTTTAAAATATTGGTACCACGAATCGTTAAGTAAAAAATATATTCTTACCTGTGAAAAATGTACATAGCATACACGCGCAAGACTTTAGGACGTTCTTTTCGGAAGCAGCGCGGGAAACTACACGGAATGTCGGGACAGGAATTCCGAAAGGGGGAAACAGGGACGCAGTTGTGTCGTTTCAACCCTTCCCCCGGTTTCCGTGGCGAGTCTCCTTTGAGATTGGGCGAACTGTAGGAGGGTGGTTGCACGCCGCCCCCTTACGCGTATCAACCGCTTTGGAAAACCGTGACGACCGCTTTAAAACGCTGTAACTCGCGCGCCGCCCCGTTAAAATTTCGTTTCTGCTTCGTTCGGTGCGGTCGCGCGACGGGGATACACATAGTTGTAATTAAAATCCTGGCATACTTTCTGTGTTTCCATTAAAGTTCCGCGAAAATTCGTTCTCGAGTGACGGCGGACAGGGTACCGAGAAATATTGCGTGTAATTATTATCGCACGTGTACCTGGGAACTTGTAAAAGCGTCCGCGATCCTGATCCGAGAAAAATGATTCGGTTCGCGCGAATAATAGATATTTTAATTTGCTTTGACTAGATAATTCAATGTTTCGACGCATTCTTGTTGAGTCTTTTTTTAAAATTAAGTACAGGACGCGGGCAAATTAATTACACAGGATAAAAGTGTATTTCAAAATTGATAAAATGGGTACTTTATGAGTACATCTGGGGGTTTCTAGAGTGTACAAACAAAATAAAATTGTGGTATCTTATTTTATCAAAATGCATATATTATGATACAATATTTATAATAAATAACTCCGACATCTAGAATTAGAAACGTATATTAATCTCCATCGTTTCTCATTTTTATTTATTTTTTAACTTTTTCTCCACTCGACTCGTATAATTTCTTTTTGCCTTACGTAGAATCTTGTGGCAACAGAGGGGTATTATTAGTATTAAATTAGGAGTGGAAAGTGAAGGTTCACGAGTGAACATCGGGTCTGTGCATTGTCATGGAAATCAGGTGGAAAGATAATGGGGCGATAAACGCGGACGGGGTATGGATTTTACGACGTCAACGTCGATGCGCGCCCCGATATCGAGGCTCGATTGTTCCCGAATAATTAACTGATAATTACTTCAAGATATCCGGGGAATCCAGCACAAGAAGGTCCCGTTTCAGCCAGTAAGTCTTGTGCCAATCGTCGGAGGAATCTATCCCGCAGCAACGCATGCGAACTTGCATGTTGTCTATCCGCCGTTTCCACGTCACGTCGGTGTAGTATCTTTTCATGCCTGTTTAACATAACACACACCCTCATAATCGTATTGCAATTGAACAGGGTTGATCCATCAAGCTGAAACGAACAAAAGACAGTAATATAAAATGCATTTGCATGAAAGGGTGCACTCGATTAATTCTAAATTTCGATTTAATTTTGGTACAGACTGTTTGATCAGCGCGTTTATATTTATCCAGGAACGGTTTCACTGACAAAATTCGTTTTTCTGATCGCTCGACACGCGACTGGTCCGAGGCTCCGTTTTATTCCCAGCATAATAATAGATAATTATTATTTCGAAACAGCGTAATCCTCGGCGTAGCATTTATTCAAGCTCGTCGTGCCACCTCCGCCTACCCCTCGGGATTAGCCGGGTCAAGCTTAATTGCGCGTTGCTAATTCTCCATTAAGTCGAGGGGTATCTCTTTCAGCGTTCGAAATTTGCTCGAAACTGCAGCTTTTGAAAGAGGAGACCCGAAGTGTTTCTCGTCGAGCGACGAAGGGGCGTAAAATCCAAGAGTCACGCTCGTTTTTACGGATACATCGGGCTGTCCGAAGTCTAAATTATGTTCTCTTTTCGACGGCTACTTGTACGGCGTTGAACTTCGACGAGTGTCTCGGGGCAAACGAGTCCCAGTTTCCGATGTGACCTGTGACTAATTACGCGCTCAAGGGACGTGCGCGCGTGTGTGTTTCAACGTGCAAAGGTCTCGGGGCATCGAAGGAAGCTTTAGGGTCAAAGTTCTTCAGTGCGTCAGAATTGTAAGTACCGGAGAGTGTGACAGGGGGGAGAAAACAGCGAGCAGTGATTACAGAGCGCAGAGACTCTTGAAGATTTGCGTGCACAGACAACTCTTCAAGCTGCCTCGCGAGTTGTAATTTCATTTCGTTCTGAACGAACAAACACTTCGTCGTTTATCTAATGTTAATTTCAAATCAATTATTTGAGAGTCATTTTCTGATTTTGTCGTTGCAGGGGAAACAATTCTGAAACACTGTTCGATTTTTCTTCGACGTTTACTAGTTGTCGGACGATATATAGAAGATTTTCCCTCTATTCGTTCGGAGCAGCGGAAAAAATTGAAACGGACCAGCGCGGCGTGAACCTTTAATCGGTCCGATCGATATTTAATTATTTCGACGGCGGCTTTTTAATTAATTCGACGGATAGCCCCGCGATTTCGACCGTCGGAACGAAAATTTCAATTTCGCCCCGCTTGTCGGGGAATTTCGGCCTCCTACGTTGATGAATTTCTGATGGGGATATAAAATATCGGAAAGTCATACGTTAATGCGAAACATTCCTTGCGTATTTCGATGGGGGTTTTTCGCGCTTCGCGACAAAGCAGACTTATCGATAAATTGATACTTCCTCCTCGTTTGCGAAAGCTCACGCACTTTATATTCAAATTTTTCGATTCTGAGAGATTTGTTGTTTCTATAATATAAATAGAGAAGACGAGAGAGATCAAATTCCAGTACCTCCGCTCCGTAAGTGTCGCGGCACGGTCGGACCGCGGCGACACTTACGGAGGGTTCGTTGCGAATTCGATCGGAACGACCGCGGTTGTGCAGTTTCGCGTGAAACGCGATAACGCGGCGTTCAAGCAACGTTTTCGTTATACATTCGAATCGAGGTACCGTCTCTATGGCAGACAGATGGTGAAAACGGCACGCCGCGAAATAGTGCCCCGGCATAATATGCAAATCGGCGGTCGAACCTGTACGCACCACTCCCCCCCCCCACCCAATCCCACCACCGTGGAAATTACTGATGGAAATCTCGTTTGGTGTCTACCTACTTAATGAATAGATACGGCACGACTGGATTCTCTGCGAAATTCGAAACGTTTGCTCACGATAAACTCCGGCCCGATGCTTTCGCGTCCTCTGTCCTCCGATACGCAAATGTACCCTGATGATCTCTCGATGATAACGTTGCTGGACGTGATTCCGATCAATGAGCGTCCCCGTCGGTGGAGAGAATTAAACGATACGCGATGGAATATTTATGCGACCAGCCTCGGTCTCGAGGAAGAATAATTAATTCGTTTTCGATCCTATAATTATAGAATGACTCGCTCTCGAAACGTTTCGGGGGCGGCTAAAATAATTCTACGAGGTTGGAATCCAACAAGACTAACGTGCAATATTTTATTCGTGGATTTTGCTCGATCGTGTATAAAAATAAAATAGCATAGTAACGTAATCGACTTATCGAATAAGATTAATACGATTGCCCCCTTGGCATTGCTTTATTATTATTAATTTCGTTCGAAACTGATTAAAAGATTAATGGCCATAAGAGCTTCTATATTGTAAATACGACTGTCCTATGGAAATGCTTGTTACAATGCCATCGATACATTAATTAATTATTTTATATTTTTATTTTTCCAATCTATTATTTGACGTTTCGAAACGTGGAATTAATCAATTGATGTATCGGAGGTATGGAATTGCTTTCGAAATTTTTGACGAGAGTTTCCGAGGCTCGTTCATGTTCCCAATATAAACACTTTCTATAGTCGTTAATCTCTCAATTTTTGATTTATACCACGAAGGGGTAGATAATGGTTTTTGATAGTGTACTGTTCACTAAATAACGAACTATCAACTGTCTGTGTACGGGGTGTCTTTCGACCGGTGGTACGTATAATTCAATTTTGTATACACAACAATGTACACAAAATATATCAAGTTTCAATTAATATTTGTATGGTCAGCTGTTGATGCAATGTTAAACGTAATTAAAAGAGGCAGATAGAATATAATTCCATTCAAATAAATTTTTTGGGAAATTAGTGACACGACAAAGTTAGTGTTTTGCACCATTTAAATGGACTGTAAATATTTATCGAATAAAATTGATTCGCAACGACATATTACGTTCGAAAATGTTTTTCCACGGAGATGGACAGTACCAAATATTGACATTAATTCACGACAGTGCGCAAACGAAAGGTCATGGCTGGGTCACATTAATGCCGCTATATGGATGTTGAAACAGCAATTTCGTGAACCTGCCGTGAAATTCATTTAAAAATCATGTTAGTTCACCGATCCCTGCTGCAGGCTCAAAGCCCAAAATTTTCATTTTTGTTTCGTTCACGTAAATTCGGGCAATAATATTTCCAGAAAAAACGGAAGCAATTTTCAACAATTTTTATATTACTAAAAAAAGGTTCGAGAGTACGAATTGTCAACATTGATTTATTTGGAAATGAAGCCTCGAACGAAAAATTGCCACTCCACATTCCTGACCAATTTATTCGTGTAGATTTTTTTCCCGATCGCATCATTTCGGAAATACACTTAGTTTGAGTATTTTATTTTGCCATAACATCGATACTACCTTCACGAAGTGACTCCCGAATTTCGAGCGCCAGATGCTCCGCAGTCGAAGCGCAAATGCTGGCCATGAAGCATCCCACGCATACCACGAACAGTCCCACAATCGTCCACAAGAACAATCTGAAATTCGTCCAGCGTCTGAAAAAAAATCAAATAATTTAAAAAAAAAAGTAGAGCAGAACGAGCACAGGCCTATTTTTTAATCGTTCGGGGATTAATTTCTGACGAAATAAAAGTAAAAATCACGCGCGGATCGGTCGATGTACGATTTTCGGTACGTTTTGTAGCCGAAGAACGATCGCCTTAATTTTCACGGGTTCATTTTTAACCTGACGGGACTAATTTAAAACCCCCCGTCAGACTAATTTCAGCACCCTTCCAATTTCCCAGACCCGGTGTATCGAGCCCCGTAACCGAGAGGGTGCGAAAATCTCCGGCCGCGAGCTAAACCGCAAAGATACGTTAACGAGGAAAGGTAATTAAAACAAATGAACCTCGGCCGCGGAGTATCCGACGCGCCGGAATTACTTGAAAATTCTGACAAATCGATTGGCCTTCCAGCCGGTTTCCAATTCGTATCGGTGAAATTAAGAAAAACACACCGCGGAGGTTTAATTCTCAACCCCTTCATACAGTTCGATCGAGGATACAGCAGAGTCTTCCCGTATCTCTATTTCATCTCTACACTTGTCTCCACGTCTCTCAAATGTCGTTTATTCGGATTTTTAAAGTTTCGAACAAATAATTGACCCCTATTTCTGTCCATCTTTTGATCAATTTCAGGAATATTTAATTGAAATCATCCTCAGAATTCAATCTCTATTTCATCTCTATACTTCTCTCCACGTCTTTCAAATGTCGTTTATTCGGATTTTTAAAGTCTCAAACAAATAATTGACCCCTATTTCTGTCCATCTTTTGATCAATTTCAGGAATATTTCATCGAAATCATCCTCAGAGCTCAATCTTTAAAAGAAAATATTCTCCCAGCATTTGTTGTACACCTTTTCTTCTACACTTTTCCTTCTTCTCTGGGTTCTCTTTGCACCAAGATTTTCTTGCCTGCTTCCGCGCCCTCTTGCACTTCAGTTCCTTCGTCTCTTTTCAACACTTAAGCTAATTAAAATTCTTTCCTTCTCGTTTGCTTGCACGCTTTCTTAATTTTTATGGACAATAACCGCGTACACGTCTAATTATAGAAGTTAATCTTCGTTCTCTGCTTCCCATAAAAATTTTCCGGAGCCTTTCGCCGCCTGTATTGTCTTCTGACCTTTTCCTTGCATTTTCATTTTTACTACCTTCACTGCATTTGTCTTATCACTCATCGAACGATCCTCGTATTGTCTTATCAGTATTAACGATTTAATTTCATTTTAGGCATTAAGTCACGCGAAGAATCGTTCCTTTTACATTATACTAATACGGTGCGCGATAATATCTATTTAACATTGTTATTCTCGTCGTAAACATTCGCTGCAGGTTCGTCTTTTACATTACCCTTCGGCGTAATGAAAGTAATTGTAGCACAGCCTCGCGCCCAGCAGATTGTGAACGAGAACGTAGAGGCCGTACAGCGTGAGTGTTCTGAACGTCATCTCGAACAGGTTCCTCTCCTCGAGTCTTAATTTCCCAGCCAACGCAAACGACGTAAACATCCCCAGGCAGAACAGAGCGGAACCGATGAAACCGTTCATCGCGATGGTGAGGATCAAGCACCGATGAAGACGTTTTCTTTGGCTCCACGTAAACCTGATGTCGCCAAACGCCATTTTCGATCCCCCGATGTTTTCCTTCCCCCGTCTAATTCCCAGTACCCAACCTGTCGAAAGAACAACAAATGTAGGGAATCAGTGATCAATAGATTTTTATGAGGCAACTATAAATTTCTTTTTCTTTCTCAGCGCAAAAAGGCGAAATAATAAATTCTTTATGCGTCGTTACACCGCCCCATGCGACTTTGCCATCGCCCATGGCCAATTGATTCGTCCGGTCTCGCGTAATTCGTTTAGAATTCTGACGCGCGTCGACCGGGCGGTTTGTTCCTTGCTAAGGATCCGGAATTTCCTCATTCCCACGACGGAAACTGTCCCCGCCGAGGTATTTCTACGGTATCCGGGGAACCTTAGGTATACTGCGTCTCAGCGTCTACTGGGTAACCTTGAGTTTCAGAAAATGAACACTTTCTTTCTATTAAATCAACCCCTTTCGGTCATAACTTTCCACTGACACTCTTCGTACCTTGATACGCCGAATTGTATTAATTTACAGAACGATTATTAAAATTAAAATTGTATTATACAATTGATAAAATTTAATAAAAATTCGTCGTACGAAACGTCGTAAGTTTTAGTCTATATCATGGTATTTCACGTTTCCATATAATTATTTACAGAAAAGCGTCGCTAACCATCGAAATCGTTCGCGAGCATGGAATTATTCTAATTACGTCGAAGCGAAATATCCGAAGGAAAATTGTTTCCCCGCGAAAAATTATTCGCGGTCCCGGAGAAACTTTTTAATCTCCGGAGGGGCAGAAACCGCGCGAGTTTTCCCCGTTAATGGAAATTACGAAAAATTTTCCGTCGGCGTTCAACGAGGGGCCATTCCACGAGGATTATTTACGCGTCACCCGGTACGTGCGAACGCAACACCAGTAGTCGCAACGACAACCTATACAGACACTGGACGTACAAGACAGGGGGGCTACGAGCAAACGAGCGAGTATGGAGGCATTCGGTGTACTCAAGGCTGGAAATTGCAAAACGTGTATGGCCTCTCGCCTTCTCTTCCCTATCAAAACTGTCGTTCCGCGTAGAAATTCCGGTATCCTGTCCACCGAATGAAAATTAATTCCGCTCCCACGGCTAATAAAAACGCGGTTCACCGTTTCATTTCACTCACGAATCCCTGTCAGAGGGATCTCAAAGATTAATTCTAATTTCCTCTCGAACCATTCACCGGAACAAACGAATCGTGTGAGTCAGATCCATTTATCGTTTTATTTTTGATCGAGTCCGTCAAATTAAGGATTAAATTATACGGTGATCGGTACTCACGTATCTAGAGGACTTCACTGATTGCAACGCACGGCCACGCGACGTTTCTTTCGATAGATCGACACTCGCTAAACCACACTGCACTTTCCACACAGTTCCAAAAGTTAATTTACACACGGAAGAACTTTCGAAAAGCTTCGACGTGGAGCGTATTATATTTTATAATCAAGTTCCCCGAGTTCAATAAAACGTCGACTCGCGAGCGAATGTCGTACCATAACTTATAGCGAGGTTAGTCATTTTCACGAACTTCACGCCTTCGATTTCCTGGGCAATTATCAGTAAAATCAGGCAGGCTTAAATTGTGGACAATATCTTTTGTGTACCTTTAAACATACACAATTCTTTTCACCCAATTATCACAAATTATTATTTTTTTTTATTGACTCATAATTTAACTTATAATTTACTAGCATTAAAGAAATACACAGTTTTTAAATATACATATAGAGCTAATTTAATACAGGATCATTGTAGATGGCGTGTTATTCACTTCCTCGAAACGTGAGTCGCGTAATAGGGCGCAAGAAAAGTAAATGAATTGCGTTTTTATTAAAAGTTGTTGCAATATAAAACGTGGTAATTGTGAATCGTTGAAAGAAGTGTGTTCTCGTTAATAGCTGTCAGGATCAAAGAGGTATGTGATTAACTGTAAATTATTACCGTCGACATCCCCGTTCTATATCGAAATTGTACGCGAGGCTTCGTTTTCCACGGTTTCGAGCGTCCAACGTACGCACTCGGGCTAATTGTTGCTCAGGCTATCGAGGGATTTCACTGGAGTCAAAACGTTCAGGAAAATATCCGCCTGCATTTGAATTTTTGAATAACCTTACCGTTGCGGTTCACCGACACGAATGACCGCGATATCGTTTGGAAACGCACGCGGAAAACCCGTCCTCATAACCGCGATAAATCCAATGACGATGCATGGCCGCGACGCGCGTCGTACCCGCGGAATAATCGATTACTGCGGGGTCATTAATTAACTCGAAAAAGTGCAACGATTTAACGGCAGAGTGACGGGAAAAGTGAAACGTGACGGCGATCGACGAAAGGGGAAAGGGGGAAGATGGCACGAGCCTAGAACGAACGAGGCGAGCAGTATCGGGTATTAATCAATTACATTCTTAATCAGTCGATCGATCGTTTGAACAATTGATTCTGATTAACTTTATTTGCTATTGGAAAGTCAGATTTCTATCGAAAGCGGAAAATTTGGTTATCGATTGAAGTGACCACATTGAAAATAAGAACGGTGGGCAGTGTTTTATAATAGATTGTGATTTGAATTAACATTTTTTATTTACGTAAACATTAGAGAAAAATAAACGGGGACGAAGTTGCGGTATATTTTATTTGTTTCAAATAGAATGTTAAATACTTGTCTGAATTTTTTTACCGCGCAACTCTTCCGCAGACCCGAATTTTAAAATACAATTAGTAAACTGTCGAATGCTGGGCGAAGTGGTGATTTACAACGATTCACCCGGTACACGGCGCGGCAATTTCAGCCGCGGGTGGCTCGTCGATTCTATCGCTCGTTCCTTGCCCTTTTATAATTTTTTTTCAATTTCGCCTGTACAACGGTCTCGGCGCGCTGGTTAACAACGGCCAATGAAAACGTTTCATTACGCTTGTACGTCGGCGGGCTCGTGTTCCGCCGACCGGGGGGACGGTTTATCGCGTTTGTTTACCCCTCCCTGGCCGCTGATTTCCGGAAATCCGCGGAAAATCATCGAGCGTTGGTTAAACGCAGTGCTGCGCTGTCGCTGAAAGGATCCAGCGATTAGCGACTATAGAGGGTTCCGGTTAAACGAGCATCGCGACTGCCAAGGGGCGATTTCGAGTGCTTCTCGTCGAATTTCTGCGGTCTTTGTTCCGAAATCAGGTGTCGTGACAGCAATTTTGGCTCGTACGCTGCGCCAGGGCAACCATTACGGGCTCTCGCGAACCCTACGAGCTCCATTAACCCTTTCGTTCGCAAATTATTAACTACTCAAAGGAAATAATATTTGCCAGCATTGTCGTGCTCATCGAACAACGCATAACCGATTTGTGGAGATAATTCGAGTATTTAAACGCGTTCTGTTTACTTTCAGTAAAACGTGCACCATTGTTTGCATCCTCTTTTTCGAGTTTCCACTATTTTTACGATTTCCTTATTTGATTTTTACCCTCCCATCCTACGCTCTGATCTCGAGCGATCTAATTCCGTTTTCGCTCCGCGTAAAAATTCCCCGCGTCCTTTACGGATCGTTCTCGCTCTTAAATCACGGGATCAGAGTTCGCGGCGGAAATGAAACCACCCAGGCGACCAAATATTTTTTCGAAATTCGTCGCGTCACGGTCGATCGCGTTGCGAGATCCACGCCATCATTCTCGAGGGGGCGGGGGATAATTCGCGGGCTTCTTTTCTCACGGAAGCTGCAACGTAAGATCGTCTTACTCTTTACGACTCCGAGGGGCCCGCATCTTATCCGCCCGTACCTATTAGCCCGTGAGATTTCATAAAATGCACGCGGACTGCCGCGATTCTCGCGATTCCGCTTTGAGGAACGGCTGAGCTCGTCGTGATTTACTGCTGGCAGCCGAAATAACGGCCCAGAAACGATTTCCATCGACGATCGAGTCGAAGCGTTCGATCAGCCCTCGAAAAGAAGTGAAATAAATGAAAAAGCAAACGTTCGATTATAAAAATTGTTAGAAAAGTAACGCAACCGTTCGTTCGTAATTGGATTCGGATATGTTAATATTTAATATTTTTCTGTAGTTCGGGATCCTTTTACAGCGAGCCCTTTCGCAGCGAAAATTCACTTTTTCCCCGTCGAATATGCCCTGTCGATGGATTCGCGCGGCCATTAAACGCTTCGACAACACGGTACTCTCTGAACGGTACAAAGTGCCATCGTGTATGGGTCCGGGGACGAGCTCGCGCGGAAAAATAACGACTAGCCGGAAGCGCGCGTCGCGCGTGCAATTAAATTAAAACCAATGCTAATGAGGATAGATCTCGCTGTGTTTTGGCCGTCGCGCACCGTACCGGCCAGGTGTTAATTGAGGCATGGATCCGCTGGTCAACCCAGGAGCCGATCGATTGGCACGATTTAGGTGGACCGTTTGTTCGGTTTGTTTGGTCGAGTTACCGCACGCGTTTATCGACCCGTTCACACGCTCATTTTGCACCCTCCACTATCACAAAATGGAGGATTCTTTACAAATCTCCACAAGACTTTATTTTTGTGCCCTATGGCGTGAACACAGTTATATCTATCAGTTCTGAACTTGATTCTTCTTTAAATCTCTCTAACCACTGGTAACTATTAGCCCTCAAGCATACACGCTCAAATACTAACACGTTCTTTATTAATATTTCCTTAATAATTCACAGAATACAAAATTTATTGTATATTAGTGGCAATACAATCGTAGCAGACTTTAACAACATGTTCTTGGCACATTCGCTTCTGGTATCTTTCCATTCTGCTCGATAGAAGCCAAATATACATAATATAAACGTAGATTTATAAAAGCAAGTAATTTATGGAAGCTCTTCTATGTATATTAATTTTGTTTATTCTTACTTACATCACATCACAAATAATTAATTTAAATTATATTTCAACTTTGTATTTTTATCCACTTTTAAGGTTGCGATCTTAGTATTTCAGTAGCTTGACAAGGGTTAAGGTTACTATGTTGTAGAATACCTG